TTGACTGGTAAATAAATTTAAAAATGGGATTTGATCCTATATTCGGACAGTATATAGTGTAATAGCAGGAGAATCGATTGACACTGATAGCTCGACATTGTTTACCTTTGTTACATTCGACGTAATGAAAATTTGCTCTTGATTTGTCAATTGCGTAAACTGAAATCAAATTATGATTTCAGTTTGATGTTGAAATCAAAACTTGATTTCAATTTGCTATCATTTTGATGCTGGACTTTGCTTGGGAAGCGTTACTGCTTTCTCACCCCAATGAGTCTGCCGAGGTCGGTGGGATTTTTCTGAGGCATAAAAATCTCTGGTCACGTCTTCCTTTGGAAGGGAAGAAAAGCCGTTGGTCACGGCCCATGTGTGTTGAATTGGTGCGATATCCCATGCAGGTGTGGAAGCTGCCTTCCTGCACATACGATTGCCGTCAATTGATGGCAATCAATGTCCATGGATCGGTTCCAGTCTGCTCCGTTTTATATTTTTTTATAAACATTATTCTCATAAGGCAAATTAATAAAATTCATACCGATTTATTGTGGCTAAAATTCATAAGTGATTATTGTGAAATTCATACGTTTGTTTTGCCTCAGTGTACTATTAATCTCGAGAAAAGAAAAACATCAAAGCAGGTCCTGAGCTCAGAATTGTCATTTTTCATCCACCATTTCCGGCAACAGTTGATGGCTTCCAGTTTTTTCAAGTCATTTCTATCCACCTACCAAGTGATGCCTCCCAAATTGGCCTGTGTTTGTCCGGCACCAGCGGCAACGCAAAGCAGAGGATGCAACCCCGGCAAAGTGAGTCGAAATCCGTACGTCAACTTCTTGCGGGACTTTCGGCGGCAAAACTGTGGCTTGTCACCGATTGAGGTTATACGGCAAGGAGCTGCTGCCTGGCAGAAGCTCACTGACGAACAACGGCTGCCGTACGTGCGGGAAGCATTTTATCATCCATTGAGGAGACGATCGTGTCCACCTGTGAGGCCGTCGAGGCAGGTCGGTTCGTTCAATCGTAGACGGAAGATGAGGACAACGACGCCAAGAGCGGGCACCAGAAGCCGAAGCCGATCAGCAAGAAGAGTTAGCAGAAATTGATTTTGACGATTCTAGGGCCATTGAACCATTTATTTTGGAATATATTTAAATATAAATCGTTTGGCAAATCTTCGGTTTCTAACTAATAAAGGTTTGAAAAAGAAAAATCATGTGTTATTTTTTTAACTAAGAACTTCAAATTTGATGACATGGCTAGTCGTTTTTTATACATATATGGGTCAATAACAGGGTTCTAAGGCTGTGTTCCATTTAATGAATTTTAACTTAAATTTGACAGATGGAAAATTTTCAAATAAACCTGCTATTGTACCAGACCAGAAGGAATCAGTTTTCACAAACACCTTCTCGAAAATCGGAAGATCAATAAAAAAAATAGCTAATGAGTAACAGCGGTTTTTTTCCCAAATATGAGTAAATTTCGTATGAAAAAAGGCTCTGAGTCGATTGAATTCAGCCTCTGAGTTGTTGCAGTTAGCCGTGTACGTAAGATCTTATTGGCGTCCTGCATTAAAACTATGATAGCTCATGCGAACTCTGTGTGTGGAAATAAGAACTAGTGAACAGAGGATGTTTCTTCGATTCCCGCATTAGTTTCCACGGTCCGCAAAACTAAACTTGAATTTACGGTAAATTAAAATCCTTTCCCGAATAAAATAATGGCATCCACAGGTAAGAATTCAATATTGTCACAAGTGAAATACATTGTTGAGGCGATTAACTCAGGATTTTCCTTCTTATAATTCCTTCAAAAATGTTTGCTAGTCGAAGTGGGGTTATGTGATGTTTGTTTTGAATTTCAGCTGATGGCCGGGAGGAAATCAAAACCAGCATTCTTCTAGTGGACATACTGGACTATGTAGCTGATTCCATCCGACCAATCCACGAGGGTAGGAGATCTACCCGTGTTAAGGGCTCCCATCCCTTCGTTGAGCATAACCAGACTCCCTCCTCAAATACGAGATAATTGAACGGACCCGCGCAAAGACCTTGGTAGCGTACCTGGAATAAAATCAGCCGTCACGAAATGCAAGCTGCAGACTTTAGCATTCAGCGGAAGTTTTTTGCCATATCGGAGGACTCTAATCCACTCCTTACATCGGACGTCTTGCTTGCTCGGGAAACTGTGTAGATGTATGTTGTTTCCAGTACGTTGAGAACAACCGTAAACAGAATAAATACTGTTGCTCCGGGGCTTCAATATGGAACGGTAATAAGTATGGTCCTTCAACTGCTCTGGCGTATCCTCCAGACTTCGGATCTGCCGACGTAGGCAGCGAACAAGTCGCTTGACACGAACGTTTGGAACGGCGTTGGTTTTTAAATATCGTGATGTTACTAGAACAAGAAAAAATACCTAGTTAATTACTAAGCTCTTGGTCAGTGTTCAGGATATTAACCGGTTAATAAATCGCCCTCGAGCAAGCATTTGGCACGTCAGTTGTCAAGCGCAGTGCTTTCTTCCATCGTTGGTGTTGCTTTTTCTGCTTGGCCGGAGGAAAAGCCGTCAGCATTTTCGGTTCCGGCAAGTGGAAATACAGCATACTCCATCGGCTTTTAAGTACGGATCTGCTTCAGGTAAATTCACCGATGGCACGGCATCGCCATTCTAAGAGTATCTTAAACACAAACATTACTTCAATTTGTATTCATACTCATAGATGAAAAAACCTGCTGATGATAAAATCCTTTTCTGTGAAGTACAACTTGCAAATCTTCTCTTCTCGATTCCCTCCGAGATTGATGAAATCGCACCACTTATTGAATAATGTGTGAGTCCTCCGGGAGCAGTAAACATTCTGGTCTCATCTTGTGTCCTGCAACCGGGAACAGCACACCGAATAGGCTTCCCTCCTTCCTAAAAATAACACCCAATTCACCAAATTCAAGTTACACCACAGTTGTCTAGTGTAATTTGTGCAACTCCAGCGCCTTCAGGATGTCAAAGAGAGTTTTTAAGTGGGGAAGTCGCCGTTAGTAGCGCTTAAGTCAAATAGGAATCTTTACACAAGTTTTTAGAGAAATTTTGTTCGAGCCTCAATGTCTGTTCTCTGTGGTTACACTGCATTCCTTTGACTAATTTACTTACCATCGCCTAGAAAAAAAATGTTTTTTAACCGTTTTTAAGTACCAAAAAGTGTTTTTCTTATGCTTGTCTACAAATTTGTTCGCGGTTTGACATAAATTTTGATTCGATCATCACAAGCACAGCAGGCGCGCCTAGATGTCGTTTGCTCGTGAAATCTTCCAATAGCGAATTCGTTTATTATTCAGTTCCAACCTGGATCGGATATCAAGGTTGGTGTTCAATCAGGGACTTAATCACTGGGTTCAAAGTCGTCGGATAACGCGCACAGAAAGCACTTAACACGCGAGTACTTTAACGGGGTAAAGTTGGACTGTATTTCACTGTTTGTTCTTAATTGTACAAATTGCAACACGCGACGTTGTACTTCAACCAAAAACTACTGTTCATGCGAAAGGTTTATTGCGGACTAAATTATATAAAATTCTAGGGATCTACACCACTGCGTGCGATGTTTTTTCTTATCGGTTTGCTACCTACGTTCGGCCCTACTATTGATCGTGAGGCGATCGATATGGTACGAGATAGATTGATAAGGGACATTGGGCAGAATAGGTCAACTAGGGGAATTTACGTATTCTCGTCAATCTAAGCAGCGTCCGCACTTCTATTAGCATTTTCACAGCGTCACGCACATATATGACGTGTCTGTTTGTTTCAATTCATCTGCTGCTTGCTTCTCTATCCATTCCAATCGACAGAATTCTTCAAAACTGTTTGGAAGCGTTTTTACAACGCTCTAAACTTCTTAGGTGAGTGTGACTATTGTCGGCAGCCTCTTTTTCTTCGGCAACCTTCCCATTAGAACTGCGTGTTAACCAGCTGTTCTATTATCGGCAACTCGAAATCAGCCCCATTTTGTATAACGTATGCTTCATTTGAAGAAAAATCTGGCATAACAGGATTGCTCGGTCCTACAAATATAATCAGATTGAAGCTGAAAGACTAAAGAATCATTTGGATACATTCAGGGAAGTGTGTTGATGGTAAAACATAGTGAAATTAACGTTTAAATTTTGATTGCCGAAAACAGTCAATGGGTGCCGAAGCCGACATTTACCCTATATCTCCTACTATTTACCTACTCGGGTCACTCATGATCGAGTGAGTGATCTTGCAGTGGTATGGTTTTTTCCTAGGTAGAAACCCGTGAAAGTGGTGACCGGTGCGAACAATTGGGTCTGCTTGTTTTCTGACAAACGTCAGTTGGCTCGTTTGTTTTTCAAACCTAGCTCATGTTGAGGTTCGCATTGACATAATGTTCAGGAAACAATCAAGAAGTTCGTCGTAGCTCACATTAATGTGTTGAATATAGGGGCAAGGATGACTGCATCAGACTACTCTTACTAGACAGCGATGCAAGTGTGAAAGAGTAGAATTTATTGTTCTGACATACCTCGGTCAGTTTTATCGCTGTCAGTTTGCCCAAAAGTGTCAGATTGCCCAAAAATGTCAAAATCATGTTAACTACGATGCATCTTAATGTGGTTGACAGGGATAGACTGCCTATAATCGCATATCAGTCCCATATGGATTTTAATTGATTTAAGATAACAACGTAATCCTCTATCAGTTGACATCTACTTTCGTATTACGTGATAAAACTACGGACTTTGATCTTGAAAAATGTGAAAACAACTCAAGTTTGAAACTCTTTGCTGTTGGACCCGGGATATTCTGCGCTGTCCCAGAAAGGGACGTGCCTAGACCCCTAGCTGCTAGTCTAAGCCTGTCGGCAGCCACTGGGTTGGCTCCAAAGGTCTCTTTTGTTCCCGGGTCATAGGATTTGTCGGCGAGAGAGAATTTTCGGTGTAAGCTGTCCTAAATATCGCAATGAATTAATTTACCTTACGATGTTTATTGGGCGGATCGATCTGGTATGGTGTGCGAGTAGACGTTGGCTGTCCCGACGGCGGAAAGGCTGGATGGTGGTTGCCGGATGGCGGTGGCCGGATGGTGGGGGCCGGATGGTGGTGGCCGGATGGTGGGGGCCGGATGGTGGTGGCCGGATGGCGGTGGCGGTGGCCGGATGGCGGTGGCCGGATTACGGTTGCCGGATTTCGGCGGCTGGATTGCAGCGGTCGGATTTCGGCGGTTGGATTGCAGCGGTTGGATTGCAGCGGCCGGATTGCGACGGCCGGATTGTGGTTGCCGGATGGCGGTGGCCGGATGGCAGCGGCCAGATTGCGACGGCCGGATTGCGGCGGCTGGATTGCGGCGGCTGGATTGCGGCGGCCGGATTGCGGCGGCCGGATTGGGTTGGCTGGATTACGACGGCCAGATGACGACGGCCAGATGATGATCGGTCAATCGGTGGATGCCGCGACACGAGGCCAACAATGGAGCACCGTGATCGACGCACTATCGACGCGATGGCCGAATGGCGATAACCGGCTCGCGATAGCCAGAGGGCGATGGCCGAATCTCGATGGCCGGATAGGGTTGGTTGGATGGTGTCGGCCAGATGATGACGGCCGGATGATGATCGGTCAAGCGATGGAGCACTGTGATCGACGCACTATCACCTCTTTCTCCCGGCACTTTGTTGCCAGTCTCCACACACTCCTCGTGTATCTCTCAACTATCTCACACCACAGTAAGCAAACCACTGCCCATCCTCTCTCTCTAGGCCGAAAGATCTCTCACCTCATCATCGACTATCAACTTCCCCGTAGCTAGTTTCCGTCTCCCACTACTCTATGCCAAGTCGGTGGTAGTTCAGTGGATAGTGGTCGCTTCGCCCACGCAGAAAAAACACCTCCATCATCGCTGTGCCCTACTCTATCGGTCACTTTAGAAGTGACGTTATGGAGCTATCTCTCTTAACAACACTGACCATACTCTTACACCAAATGAAACAAATGTTACCAACCGGTAACAAGTTAGTTTGTCCCATCAAGCAAAGTAATCGCATATCAGTTCCATCCTGAAATTTAATCGTCCATAGATCAAGTAACAGTTCTACTTTAAGATTTGTCATATTATTCACATGCTTCAATGTAACTGATTTTAACGTGAAAAAATATTAAATTGACTATGAATTTTCAAATATTTACATCCCAAATGCACTTCGTCACTTCAATTGCCATTTTCTCAATGCCTACTTTTTCATATGGGACTGATATGGGATTATACTTTGGCTTTACGCCGGCCCTCAACTTAGTGTGATAGTTCCAGAGTTGTTAATTGAAAGATTTCGATGCCTGCATCATTTTTGCATTAGTATAATTGTGTGGCAAGTACGATATTCTATGCCCAAGAAAGTCGAGAAATTATTCAGCTCGAAAAATTCCTAGACCGGAACGGGAGTCGAACCCAGCCACCTCCAACATGGTAGCTGAAGAAGGCCTTAGTTCAGTTCCTATATTGTACGAATTATTCGTATGGTTGGCATTATACCTGACGGCATGTTTCGCACAATTCTCGAAAAACAAAATGCTACGAAATTCCTTTTTACGAAATGAGTGAAAGAGAATTAACGATACTATTGTGTCAGGGTTTGAAAACAGTTACTGGTTATAGACAGTATATCAGTATATGCAGCTGATGGAACCGGCTTGAAGTTCTCGAAGCTTCCCTGAAAAGTCCGAAATTTCGCAGAAGTTTCCTTATCACGCCGCAGTCTGTTCATGAAATTTCTACGAAATCCTTGGTATTTCCTTTCATTCCTCAGAACTTCTTCAAAATTCCTACAATTGTTATTGACCGCCCTCTGACCGCTACTCTCTAGCAATGACTTCTGTTGAGCAGCAAGCTGCTGCTGCAGTTAACAAATAACATTTATTATATAAGACCACGTAGTCCTACGTCATCATAGGGATATCTCTGGTAGTTTTTTGTTCATCAAACACTTTCAACGCGATATGACCAACAATCAATTCGAAACTAACGATTCTAAATTGGCTCACTACTTGACTAGCCTATTGGTCCCAAGCAAACGATTAACGTATCCCATTCTAGTCGAAATTCTAGTCTACATTATATTATTTTTGATTTGCTATGAAAGTTTGACAGATAAAATCAGGGGTTCATGGAATTTTCCTATGTTTCGAGGGGTGCATCGATTAGCTTGGGACAAAAGATAGTACCAGAGCTGAGCCAAAAAGTTGAGCATGTATCTTCGGGACCTTCTGGTCTTAGAGTTACCTCTATGATATGACCATGCGGCACACAAAGCTTAAAAACGTGTTGTCAACACAACACCACCATTAACGGTGGCGGCTTCAGCGAGTACTTCTTTCTCGATTCTAAATCTTCCCGGAAAGCGAGAAAACTAATCACACACGTATAACCGTCCGGGAGGCAGAGTTCCAGCGCTAATCCGGCAAATGCAGCTGAAAACAATGAAAGCGAACGCACCTACAAAACAGAGAACAAACATAAAACACAACCATATCCAAAGGGGTTCGAAACTGCACTCTCAAAATTCAAACTTACCAGTGATCCAATAAAACCAGTGCATTCGTCTAAAACCAGGAAAAGCCCGTAAATTTAGATTACAAATTCATCCCCTCGACAGAAAAAAAAAATATTCTGGACCTTGAAAAACTTCCATGACTTAAATTGGACTAAATTTTCAGGATACGGCCACTTTGAAGGACTTTTAAAAAATCTAAGAAAACCCCAAAAGAATTTTGAAGAGATTTAAAGAAAATCTGAATAGAACACTAAAAGAGTAACTGAATTGGATGTTCCAAGGTCGAGAAAAGCTCCAGATGAATATTAAGGCAATGTTAGAGTTGAATTTATTGGCTGTACCTAGGAACATTCGATTGTATAGAGGGTTCGTGGTCTATTTCTAATGAAAATGGCAAAACGGTCTGAAGAATTTCTAGAGATATTTGACCTAATTTCAAACATTTCACCAAGCAAAACACATTTCGAAGTTTTTTTTGCCTAGTCTAACCTGCAAAACTATTTTTCCCGGTTATTGTCCGGGAGGCAGAACGGCCTTTTCGTCCCGGAGCACCGAAACATGCGAAAAGAAAAACTGACCCAAGCACAAACCGACTAGCGGGACATTGCAGCAACACAACTATTCAAATCAAATTCTAGCCATGTGTTTTCACAATAATTTATAATTTTAAAACACCGATAAATTATTCGTGATGAATCTTCATTTGTAAACATGATAATGACGTAAATATTCTTTTTTCGCCTTGGTACAGCTAAAAAACACGTATTTTGGGTCAGCGAAATTAAAACCATCCGTTCGCAGGCTAAGCCTACTACCCACTCTACCTTATAAGTTAGACAAATTAACCCAAAATTAAAGTTTAAAAAATTTCACATTTTTCCTGCTGCACCCTGTATATACGGTCCGCATTAAGCGGAGGGATAGCTGTAATCGCAAACTAATTAAGGAAGTCCACATTTTCTATTCATGTGATTTTTTTTCCATCGGTATCTATCTTTTCCGCCAGCTAATAGGGAAGTCCACATCAAAAGATAACATCAAAGGATGGAGGATATCCTGCATTGTTTGGATAAGTCATCTTAATCCGAATCAAATCAGAGTGGAAAAACAAAAACTCGTTTGTCCCTGGCTCACCTGCTTTTCTGAAGCCCCATCAAAATCACATTTTCCCACCAATCAACCGCAAAGCGATCATTGTTGTCCACCTCCGAAGACGACGACGGGCAAGGAAGAATGCGAGAAAAACACGCATATCGAAAGATCTAACCACACGACGTGCAGCAGTAGCAGCAGCAGCAGCTGAAGCAAATTTGAATATTGAAACCTCTAACCAAACAATGAGCTCCGAGAACTGCAGTAAATTTTTGGGGGGCCCCACCACTAGCTCAAGATCAAGCGAGTAGCCAAATTTGGTTGGATGAAAATTAGCGCCGCTGGGGGACGAAGGGTTGGCCACATTTGCTGGCTACTTACGAGTGAGATTTATAATAGACTAGATGGGCAATTTGGCGTCGGTGACAATCGCTTTGGGGCGGCAGGAGGAGGTTTTTAGCATAAGCCTGCACCGTGAAAATGATTTGAAGCGGTAAATCTCGGTTGTTGCCCGTGAGGTGGAGACAAAATAGGAGCGAGCTTGCTAAGTTTGACAAATTGAACACAATGGGCGGTGGCTGGCTGACGGTGGATGGCGGTCGTCGCGGTGCTGGTAGCAAAATAATAATAAAATAGTAGATGTTGTTGGTCGACAAGTGTGGAGGCTGAGCGCGTTGGCAAGGTTGGGAAAATTCGGCGACCATTCTTTTGCATTTTTATGCGAAATTTTTCTGATTCTTTCTATAGAAAAAAAAATATATCAGAAGTGGATGTTGTGCAACCGACTTAGAACAAAAGACACTGCCGCTTGGAGGTTGACGTTAAAATCGGTGGCCTCGTACGGTCAGGTTAATGTGTGACTTGTAGTTATTCATGCACTGGCACAGGCAGGCAAATGTTGTTGAATGGATCTAATTTTTCCGTTAAGCAAAACACTACACAGCCAAACCTTCGTGTTGCTACGACAAACAAAAACTGTCATCACGAAATACCTCAACCCATTAATTGACGAAACCCGCTTATCTAAAGGGCCATGCACTATCATAAAGTTCAAAATTTGAAATTTTAATGACATTACCGCTGAAGAAAACACCAAAAAGCAAAGCCGTTCAGCAATTCATAACTGCCTCAATTACCAAAGCTTTACGAGCTGCAAAGTGAATTGCATTAATTATTAAATCAACACACCACGTGGAATCTGCTTGCCCCAGAGTGGGATGCGCTGGGGTTAATCCGCGCGCGCTAATCGCAAAGCAATATCTGGCAAGTTGCGTGAGGCTGAATAAATGTAAAAGTCTCCGGATAAGTTAAACACTGCATCGCTCAAGGTCATCTGGCTCGGCACGGTGGCTGCCGGAAAGTTGCCCAAGAAATGTTTTTCAGTGATCAAAAGTGATGGCGAAATGGAGATTGCACTCGAGCTTCTTGAAAATTGAATTTTGAAGGTATGAGTGCTATTAAAAACTAACAGCTACTAGGTTTGTCTTTCTTTATTTAACCAATTTCTGCGTGACGGGGTACACGAGTAGACTAAAGTCCTTTAAGTAAAAGTATGGACGTCTGTCAAAAGTTGTTCCAATCGGTTCGTCAAAATGCATTGCTTTGCTCGATTGGAACAACTTTTTTCACTTTAACTATTTTCTTTATATTACTTCTGCCTTGTACCTTCCTCAAAGTTGTCCTTGCTCGCTTTCTACTCTATATAGGGAAATGAATGTAATGTCGGCCTAAGTGCCCCTAATTTGGGCA